TTTTGTCATCTAGTCTGAATTGGTGATGTTTCATTGTAATGCATTCTAAAGTCAAATGTAAAATAATTTTAGAATGTTGTGTGACTTCTCTCTCTGCTTCATACAGATAGTTAAGAGTAAAATAATTTCTGAACTATGTGGTAATATGATACCATAACTTAGTTTTCATGAAACCTCCTTTTCAAAATTGAAATCATTTAATAATATTTTCAAATAATAAAAGTATTACACAATCATTTTATAAAGCACAGACAATAAAAGGCTTTAATAGAAAATCCAAATAACCTGTAATCCCCCTCAAGAAAGAATACTTATTTAAATATGATGTAAATTTGGGTGTAAATCAAGACTTCTACTACTTCTGGCTCAGCAACATGAGGGACTGATGCAGACACCCTCCTGTAATAAACACATAGATATTTTGCATAAAATATAATCAATAAAATACATTACCGATAAACATATAAACCGTGTTTTTAAATGTAGATAATTAAGCCAACATAGAAGAAAGGGAAATCCTCTGGTAGCTTGAGCTACAAGGTTGGGCTGACAGAACCAGCACCTATAGAATGGGGGTTGGAGTATAAATCTTACAAGGAGACAAAAGACATGGCCATGGGTCCACTCAAGATGAATATCTGGAATTAAGGGGCTCAATTAAGGAAAGGCTCTTGCAAAGTGGCTTAGTCTGTAAAAATGGCACTAAAAAGAACTCCATCAAAGGAAAAGAGAAAGGAATCTTCTAATATTCAAGGCTTTGAGTATGAAGGAAAAAGAAATAGCTCTTTTAAGAAAGTAAAACCCCAAGCCTGAGTGAAGGATCTAATTTTATTCTAGCCTTATTGCATGAGAACACTCAGTTAATAAACTGACAAAAAATTGAGCAAGAAAAAAACAAATATGGCCAAGGACCATGAAAACTCTAGGACCCTTGCAGAATCAAATGTAAATCCTCACTACAGGGAGCAAATCCATAATCGAGAGTACATAGGACACCCACAGAAAAGATTACCACTGTTTAAGATGCGCTCACAATAAAAAATTACACAGATAATACTACAAAGCTACAGTAATCAAAACAGCACAGTATCAGCACAAAAATAGACATATGAATCAATGGAACAGAATACAAAGCCCAGAAATAAACCCACACACCTATGGTCAATTAATCTTTGACCACAGAATATACAATGGAGAAAAGACAGTCTTTTCAGCAAGTAGTGTTCGGAAAGCTGGACAGTTGCATGTAAATCAATGAAGTCAGAACACACTCCCACACCATACACAAAAATAAATTTAAAGTGGTTTAAATACTTAAATATAAGATATGACACCATAAAACTAGGAGAGAACATAGGCAAAATATTCTCTGACATAAACCATACCAATATTTTCTTAGGTCAGTCTCCCATGGCAATAGAAAAAAAAGCAAAAATAAACACATGGGACCTGATCAAACTTATAAGCTTTTGCACAGCAAAGGAAACCATAAACAAAATGAAATGACAAGCTATGGACTTGGAGAAAATACTTGCAAATAATATGGCTGGCAAGGACTTAATTTCCAAAATATGCAAA